TGTCTGGGCTCTCCCTTAGAGATAGGGTGAGAAGCTCGATCATCCGGGAGGGACTCAGAGTAGAGTCGCTGCTTCTCCACATAGAGAGGAGCCAGTTGAGGTGGCTCGGGCATCTGGTTAGGATTCCTCGTGGACGCCTCCCTGGTGAGGTGTTCTGGACCTGTCCCACCAGGAGGAGACCCAGAGGAAGACCCAGGACACGCTGGAGGGACTATATTTCTCGGCTGGCCTGGGAACGGCTCAGGATTCCCCCGGAGGAGCTTTTTTTTTTCCAGTGAATTTATGCATTATTGTCCTGAAAGATGGCCCCATCACTGAGAGAGGGTTAGTCATCCTACATTGACTTCTTAGGAGTAATATTAAAATGCAGTGCTCTTAGAGGACCAAGTGAAATCCACCAAACAGCCACCCAGTTCAATTCAGTTCAGTTCAGTTCAGTTAATTGTTCATGTCTATGGTCTTTGCACTAACCACTAACCAGGGTGAGTTGTAGCTTGGCATGTACTAAATAGCACTGATATCCTAATGAACTGTTTTCATTGTCAGGGGTTGGCAAGATGTTGGTTCAGTTTACCCAGATGGGCTTGCATCCAGAACCCTGGATGACCATTCTTTCTTGATGCCTACTGTAGTGAACTAGACCTCCTACATCAATCTGTCTCTGAAGACCTTCAGGGGACAGGAACTGTTATTTCATTGATTTGAAACCAGAAATACAAATTATCTCATCCAGAGACTATTTAATTGTATCCTGAATTAATCAATTGAAAGAACACTCTTCTTTTTTATATTGTAGTGAACTAGGCCTCAGGTCAAAATCTGGCCTTGAGGGGCCTTCCTGAAACAAGAACTGTATTTCATTGATTTGAGTCCAGAAACACAAGATTAAGTCCATCCAGAAGACTTTTTAAGTATCCTGCACTGATCAATTGAAAGAACACTCTCTTTTTCTATTATCATTACTACTTTACAAATGTTTTGATAATCAAATTGTGTTTAGTTCAAACCATTTTCAAATGTTGAAGTGAACTACTCATTTTTAAATCAACTGTGAAACAGTAATAATGATTGTTAATCCTCATTCAAAGTAGAAATCAGGTTAATGATGCATTGTCTGATTTTCTGTCTTCAATGAGCAAATTGTAAGTTGGTCAAAGGTCAAGTTTCGGTCAACTGCAAGTTTACTGAAAAAGAAATGTCATGTTTAACTTTTACAGCAAGATACTAGAGAATTGACTCCACGAAGTCTGAGTTCTTCATAATATCTTCTGTCTGTTCTTAAACAATCTTAATCTTTTTCCTTGACTCTTAATAACCTCTTATATCACAAAACACACCTCTGTTTTGGTCCATCGACCAATCAGAAAGTTCTCAAATGAACCGGAAGTGAGCTCTTTTAAAAGGTGCAACACTTCCTAGTTCACAGTAGTTCTGCAGTTCAGGAGTTCCAGAGTTCAGAATGTTGGAATTCAGGATGCTGGAGGAAGTTCTGCAGTTCTGAGAAGTTCTGAGTAGTTCTGGGAAGAACGCTGAGGAGAACGCTGAGAGAATGCTGTGAGTTGGTTCCGAGAGCAGCAGAGTCCAGAATGCTCAGGACATCTGCGACTAAGCTGAATAAGAGAAGTCCAGAGGAATTATGAAGAAGTCTGTTCTGGATGATCTCACGACTCCGAACGGTTCCCTACTATCCTTACGGAGACGCTGAAAAGTGGCTTGAAGTGGAACTTTACGCCGGAACTGACATATCTTCAGAAAGGTAAAAAGTCGATCTTCAACCGCAAAGTGTACCGTTGGGAAGCTGGGCCTAGAAGGAGCGTGCTGTTCTGGTTATAACAGACAAATTCCCTCACCCATCTCTCTCAACTTAAACTTCAATTTCCATCTTTAAAATTCTTCTATCCTGCTAGAAATCATTCCAGATATTTTCAGAAATGTCTGTGGTGAAGCAAGGTTTTCAACCATCGCCGTATGGTTAATCAAATTGTACAGCTTGCTAACTAAGCCATGTTGTTATTTTCATTTTGCCAAATTAATATAAATGTGTGATGTGTTTAAATTGTTTTTAAATAAATGACCCACTGTTGTTGGTGAGTCAAAGATAAACACGTTTCCGTCCACATTTAATAATTCAACACATGATATTATTCAGTCCAGAAAAATGAAAGAATCCGTTTAATTTATGAATATATCATAGAATATGTTCATCTACAATATTATCATTACTATTTTACAATATCTTGATAATCAAAAGTGTGTTTAGTTCATACCATTTCTAATGTTGAAGTGAACCACTCATTTAAATCAACTGTGAAACAATATTAATGATTTTTAAACCTCATTAGACTTAGATCATACAAGTTGAATGTCTATCTACGAAGTAAGTGTGCATTTTACTCTTCTGTCTGTGTGAGGAGTGGATTTGATGTCGGTCAAAAGTCAGAGAACAACTTATGAGAACAAAGTGCCTTGTTTTAAAACTCTCAGACAGTAAATAAGAAACTGTCTGGCACCTGCGAGTCTCACTTCTTAAAAATATTTTCCTCTTTGTACTAACCGTTCTTAAATACATTTCTGCTGTCTGTTGACTTCTAATAACGCTCTGACATCACTAAAATTCCATCCTGCTGGTTGTGTTAACCAATCAGGAAGTACCAAATAACAGGAAGTGGATACCCTTTAAAAGTCAACACTTCTTGAAACTATTCTGTCTTACAAGTCTTCCTGGAACTTTCAGTCTTACAAGTCTTCCTGGAACTTTCAGTCTAGGATGAGACTCAGTCTTACTGGAAGACACAGTCTTACTGGAAGACTCAGTCTTACGGCGAGTCGTACAGGAACTTTCAGTTCTTACTGAAAGTCTGTTTGGAGTTCTGGCTGGGACTGCAGTCTTGCTGGAGTCTTACAGCTGAACTAAATAGCTGATGAATTGGACCATGTGCCAAGGATCCCTCCATCCCTCCACGACCTGTACGTCTCCAGGACTGTGAGGCGAGCAGGTCGGATCACAGCTGACCCTGCTCACCCTGCACACGGACTGTTTGAACCACTCCCCTCAGGCAGGAGGCTTCGGTCCATTCGGACCAGAACCTCCCGCCATAAGAACAGTTTCTTCCCCTCTGCTGTTGGACTCCTGAACACTCATAATGCTACCTCATAACTTCTGCTTTGGTCACATTACATCTGTATTATAACTGAATACTCCATCTGTACTGTTCTCTAAGCTTTTTTATTGTTTTCTATTGTATGGGTGTACACATGTTTATGTTATGTTTTCATTTTTACTTTATTTGTGGGTGTACACAGGTCTTATGTCTTATGTAATGTTCTCATTTTTACTTCATTTTTACTTTATTTTTACTTTATTTTTAATTTATTTTATTTTATTACTATTCGCACCTTGTGTCGAAGCAAATTCCTAGTTTGTGAACCTGGTTCATTGACATGGCGATAATAAACTGATTCTGATTTCAGCGGAGTCACAGCACGCCTCGCTGTGAACTCACCCCGAGCATTAAATGCTCTCAACTTCTACGGAAGCTTATTCTGTTGAACGGAGCACCGTCACTACTTCAGATGGTTACCAGCCACTCTGACCAGAGACGCTGAAAAGGGAGCGTGAAATGGACCTCTGTACCGGAGCTGATTTATCTTCTGCAAAGGTAACGAGTCGTCACACCCTGAGTGTACCGAGGGCTGAGCTGGGGTCGAAAGAAGGGTGCCATTCCGGGTCAACACATTTTCCTTCCTCCATCTAAATCCTCCTCTTTAAATCTAAATCTATATCCTCTGTAAACCTCTTTGCCAGTAAATCAAGCTAAATGTCTTCAGAGATGAATTATTCTCCATCAGTAATCCTCTGTTGTCTTGTTATTTGAACTTGCTAAGTTTATTAATCAGAAACAGATCAGCAAATCAAGTGTCCATGTTTTGATGTTAATTTTAATGATTCTGTTTAAAAAATGACCACATTTATTCTGATGGGTCAAAGATAAATGACGTCTCATGTCACTAATTATACACTCCACTCTCAAGTTCTCTTGGTCACATGGCAGAAATTTAACTCAAAAAAGAAAGAATCTGTTGTTAATTAAACAATTAATATTCTTTGTGCATGAACTAGCCTTAAGAATAATTAATTAAATAGTGTGTCCACAGCAAAGCTGTCCTGTCATACTACACTACAATAAAATTGAGTGGAATTGGAATTGATTCTGTTTTACTTCTGTCTTTTCTTTAGCAGGGCAAAACTAAAAGACTACATACAACAAGAAGACTGTCACATTTTTGCCCTCTTCTTCTGCCATAATCTGTCAGTTTTCGTGTTGTGTTCATTATCTCAGTTCATCTCAGCTCACTTCTCCCTGCTCCATTCACTTTGCACAACACCCCCTCTGCCCTGCTCTGCAATCAACCTTCATTCCAACCCGTCACCTGCCCTTTAAAACAACCAAGCCTCCACTCAGTCCTCGCTAGATTATTGAAAGCTCTTTGCCAGTAGAAATCCAGCGTTCCATGCCTTGACCCTTCGCCTGTGTTCACAGACTTTTCACCTTGCCTGAATCTTTTTGGATTTTTGACTGCAACCTCTGACCACGGTAACGACTCTGCCTTCCTTCTTCTTCGACTAAGCTTATGGATTACGACATGGTTCTGGTATCTGCTCTCTGCTCTCATGTGTATGACCCCTGCTACGTTTACTGGACCCTGCTTCTGGATTTGCCCTCCCGTGAAACACAACAGCACCAAATTCTGCTCCGCTGCTGCAGCTCACTCTGCACGAGTGACAGCACCGGTACCAGTGCAGCTACAGCACCTGCCACACTGCAGACTGAGAAGGTTAGTGACTAATCCCAGCAAACGTCTAAACCTCCTGATCCTCATCATAGTCACTAACCTGTCTCTGATTAGATATGTGCTTCCATAAAGCATCAACGTTGTGGCTTTAGTTACAGGATGTGTAAAGGTTTTAAACAAGGAGCATGCAGGGAACCTGTACTCACAGTCGGGATAGAGCTTCATTCTTCTGAAAGAGCATCTCTGGAATCTGACTGAGACGATTTCTGTTGAGACGACTACACAGACAAAGAAAATACAGAGTTCAAGTTTATCAGGAATAAACGTTGTAGCAGCATTTTCAGTCTGTGTGCTAAAATGATGTAATTCAGTTTTAAACGTGCTACTTTCTCACAGTCTTTCCAGCTCTTTTAGCTCATCAAAAACTCCTCTCTCGATGTTACTGATCTGATTCTCCATCAGGTGACTGGAAGAAAAAAATAAATGTATATTTATTAAGAAACAAACAGAACGTGCAGTCAAGAGAAGTGATTTAGGTTTAATGTTTCAAACATTTAAACATTTGATCTGAGCAGTAACACCATTCAACAATGTGTTGTATCAGAATATGCAACAAGCCTTAGTGCCGACTGTCATTTTATAAATACAACTCAGTCGTAATAAATCCTGTTAAGCATTAACAAATCTGTTGTGCTTTTTCAAACAGGCTGACATCACATATCCACATTCTTCACCTCTGCTCTCTGCTAAGATTTGTTGAATTGAGAATACATTTTATTGACCTGTGTATTTCAAAGTTGTTTCACACTTAATACCCATCTGTTGTTGTTCTGTTATGGACAGGCCTCTGAAGACGTCATTAGTCCTCCTGTTAATGTGTCCATCACTGCCACCTACTATAGAGGCCCAGTCCATGGGCTGACACAGGAAAGTATCACTTGTCCAGCCTCTCCCACAAGGCACAGTGTTTTCGGGTCAAAGGGTCATGGAGAAGGCCTCCTTGTATTAGTTCTAGCTGACACTGACACCCAACAAGCACCTTGGGGTGACTCATGTATCACCACTGAGCTAGAGCACTATTCTGCCCTTCGGCTTGAGAAAGTTATGTTCCCACATTCCTATCAGACCTAAAACTAGCAGGGAAACGTGCGAAAGCACTCCTCAATAAATGCAGATAGCTGTACTGTCAACAGTCAGCACCACTGCAATGACAGAAAGAAAGGCTCATTAAAGACAGGGGACCAAATAAAGATGAAGACAAACTTGAAGAGTTCCTTCTCCAGACTGCGTTTCAGCTCCGTCTGCAGATGTTCAACAAGATTTAGATCACACATCAGACTTCAGAACAGTCCAGTGTTTAGTTCTTCTTTATTCTTGCCTGTTTTTAGTTGTGTGTTTTGGGTCATTATCCTGTTGGAGTAGCCAAGTTTTGTGATAGAGAACAAGTTCTCTGACACTGGTAACACAATTTGCTCCAGAATGTCTTAATACTGTAGTCCTGATGCATGCTCAATAATCCAGGTAGAAAAATCTAAAAAAGTTCAATCTGGTCCTCTGGACATTCAAAAAAAACAAAAAAACAAAGCAAAACAACAAAAAAATGTAGAAACGTTTCGTCTCTCATCCGAGAGACTTCCTCAGTCTGAGGTGCTGTTTTCAGCTCAGTCTCTTAAATAGCACCTTCTCAGAGTGGATCAACCAGTTTTGCTGCTGACAACCAGAACCAGCTGATCACATGATCAAGAAGGACCATCAGCCTAACAATGGATCATTAGCACCTGATGGCTGTTTACTGTTCACAGAGGGCTGAGTGATACTAGCAATTACAGCATTGTAAGAGGGGGACAGTTGAACAGGACTCCAGTCAGCCATCAGGTGAAAAGGAGGAACCCAGACCCAGACCAGTGGTCATTCCAGATGTTGAGGGAGTATCAGAGAAACTGAGACGTTTATTTTCTAAACATAACGTCCCAGTGGCTTTTAAACCCCAAAATACATTAAAGACTGGTTCATCCCAAAGATCCAGTCCCCCGGCACAAACAGAGTAATGTTGTGTATGTTGTTCAGTGTCAGGAGGGTGATCAGTCTTACATCGGGGAAACTAAACAGCCACTGGCCAAAAGGATGGACCAGCACAGAAGATCAACACCATCAGGCCAGGACTCTGCGGTCTACACTCATCTCCAGGTCAGAGGTCACTCTTTCAGGGATGAAGATGTTCACATCCTGGACAGAGAGGAACGATGGTTTGAGAGAGGAGTAAAGGAGGCCATCTTTGTGAAAAGAAACCGTCCATCATTAAACAGGGGTGGAGGCCTCCAGGTTCAACTGTCCCCCTCTTACAATGCTGTGATTGCTAGTATCACTCAGCCCTCTGTGAACAGTAAACAGCCATCAGGTGCTAATGATCCATTGTTAGGCTGATGGTCCTTCTTGAGCATGTGATCAGCTGGTTCTGGTTGTCAGCAGCAAACTGGTTGATCCACTCTGAGAAGGTGCTATTTAAGAGACTGAGCTGAATACAGCACCTCAGACTGAGGAAGTCTCTCGGATGAGAGACGAAACGTTTCTAGATTTTTTGTTGTTTTGCTTTGTTTTGATTTTTTTGAATGTCCAGAGGACCAGACTTAACTTTTTTAGATTAATACTGTAGTCTTATTTCATTTTACCCTGCACAGTTTGTTTTTTCATTCAACCTTTATTTATGAAGGAAATCTCATTGAGTCACAAGAACTCTTCCAAGAGAGACCTGTTTTAGATAGCCAACATATAGAGTACAGACGACAACATACAACAACACAATTAAAATAAAAAGAGTGTTATAAAAACACTGTTACTGTTAGAAGCATGGTCCTGTTAGCAGCATGATGCTGTTAGCAGCATGGTCCTGTTAGCAGCAAGGTCCTGTTAGCAATGTGGTCCTGGCAGCATGGTCCTGTTAGCAATGTGGTCCTGTTAGCATGGTCCTGTTAGCAGCATGGTCCTGTTAG